TTGTGTATATGTTGCGCTTCTCACACTAGCAGGGGCGGGGGGGAAGGGGGGGGACATAAGCTGGTGTTGTCACACTAGTAAGGGGCCCTACTAGCAAGGGGGGGCCATACTAGCAAGGGGGGTCCACACTAGCAAGGGGGGCCATACTAGCAAGGGGGGTCCACACTAGCAAGGGGGGGCCATACTAGCAAGGGGGGCCATACTAGCAAGGGGGGGCCATACTAGCAAGGGGGGTCCACACTAGCAAGGGGGGGCCATACTAGCAAGGGGGGGCCATACTAGCAAGGGGGGCCATACTAGCAAGGGGGGGCCACACTAGCAAGGGGGGGCCATACTAGCAAGAGGGGTCCACACTAGCAAGGGGGGCCATACTAGCAAGGGGGGTCCATACTAGCAAGGGGGGCCATACTAGCAAGGGGGGTCCACACTAGCAAAGGGGCCACACTAGCAGAGACAAACGGTAAGTAGCAAGTGAAAAAGCAAGAGAGACAGATGGAAATTGAGGAAGATTATTACTCTGGCATGGAAATAACAGTTGATCAGCGAAGTTGCAGAATCTGTGGTGAGAGTGATGGACACCGCCTTGACCACTACCTACGTGAATGTGAACACCTGAGAGACATTAGAAATATGTGTAGAATAATAAACCCAACATTGAGTTAGGAAAACACTATTTGTCAAATATTGATGCTGTTCTTAAAAGTTCATTTGAGACAGTTAAGCAAGTCCCAGCTGTGTCTGGGTACAAGTGACTGGATGAACAACCCAGCGGGTTTTCTTCCTATTGGGGAGTGTTGTACATGCTGCTATGGCGGTGTGTCCACTCACAGGATGAGTGGCGCTGCCCAATACTGTCACTATGGCGGTGTGTCCACTCACAGGATGAGTGACGCTGCCCAATACTGTCACTATGGCGGTGTGTTCACTCACAGGATGAGTGACGCTGCCCAATACTGTCACTATGGCGGTGTGTCCACTCACAGGATGAGTGGCGCTGCCCAATACTGTCACTATGGCGGTGTGTCCACTCACAGGATGAGTGGCGCTGCCCAATACTGTCACTATGGCGGTGTGTCCACTCACAGGATGAGTGGCGCTGCCCAATACTGTCACTATGGCGGTGTGTCCACTCACAGGATGAGTGGCGCTGCCCAATACTGTCACTATGGCGGTGTGTCCACTCACAGGATGAGTGGCGCTGCCCAATACTGTCACTATGGCGGTGTGTCCACTCACAGGATGAGTGGCGCTGCCCAATACTGTCACTATGGCGGTGTGTCCACTCACAGGATGAGTGGCGCTGCCCAATACTGTCACTATGGCGGTGTGTCCACTCACAGGATGAGTGGCGCTGCCCAATAAACTCGCCCCTCGTGGCAAAATTAAAAAATAAATTCCTCTCCTCCCTCCTGGTGTCGAGAGCCCGCGTGTACTCCCCAGAGCTCAGCCCCTTCACCACCCACACAACTAAACATTTAACTCTTAACAAGGCTGAATGAACACACACGTCGGGACAGTCTCTCAAAATGCACTTGTAAATTTCAACAATCCGGGTCATAACTGGGCCTCACAGACGACCCAATTATACGCTACAATTATACACGAGAATAAATCTGGTCAAAACTTTATAGGAACTTAAACTCTTCTGGGTAACTGATGTCGAGCAGCTGCCGCGGAGATGTACAAGATGACCATGAGATGATGAGATGACGGAGATGTACAAGATGACCATGATGAGATGATGAGATGACGGAGATGTACAAGATGACCATGATGAGATGATGAGATGACGGAGATGTACAAGATGACCATGATGAGATGATGAGATGACGGAGATGTACAAGATGACCATGATGAGATGATGAGATGACGGAGATGTACAAGATGACCATGATGAGATGATGAGATGACGGAGATGTACAAGATGACCATGATGAGATATGATGACGGAGATGTACAAGATGACCATGATGAGATGATGAAATGATGACGGAGATGACCAACAAGATAAGCAACAGCAGAAGGAAGGAAGTCAGGACAGGGTACGTAAATAATTAAGATATATATGTATATATATGTATATATATATATTTTTCCTTACTATAATGTTATAGCTTAATGTAGAACGTGAAAACATATATTTATACTCTAAAGTAATATAATTTGATAACGAAATTAGACGAAACTAAGTGACAGTTTGAGATATATACAAGAGTTGTTACATTCTTGTAGAGCCACTAGTACGCGTAGCGTTTCGGGCAAGTCCCTATGGAATACGATCCCCTGCCGCGAAGAATCGTTTTTTCATCCAAGTACACATTTTACTGTTGCGTTAAACAGAGGCTACAGTTAAGGAATTGTGCCCAGTAAATCCTCCCCGGCCAGGATACGAACCCATGACATAGCGCTCGCGGAACGCCAGGCGAGTGTCTTACCACTGCACCACGGAGACTGCCCAAAGTTGACGCCACAGGAAGTCGACGATCCGAGCGACAATGTTATGGCTTGAGGTAATTACATGGACCCAATTTCCTTATAAAATTATATTATTTCAGAGTAAAAATATGTTTTTTCAAGTTCTACATTCAGCTCCAGTATTATGGTAAGGAATTATATTACAGATCTTCATTACTTACGTAATGCTAGGAAGCTTTGGGTAATTAGACCTAATTACACTGCCTGGTGTTGATGGTCTAACAGCATGCAAATTAGGGCTATTTAACCCTACACCGGGTGTGATGGATAACACACACCGGGTGTGATGGATAACACACACCGGGTGTGACGGATAACACACACCGGGTGTGACGGATAACACACACCGGGTGTGACGGATAACACACACCGGGTGTGATGGATAACACACACCGGGTGTGATGGATAACACACACCGGGTGTGATGGATAACACACACCGGGTGTGACGGATAACACACACCGGGTGTGACGGATAACACACACCGGGTGTGATGGATAACACACACCGGGTGTGATGGCTAACACACACCGGGTGTGATGGATAACACACACCGGGTGTGATGGATAACACACACCGGGTGTGACGGATAACACACACCGGGTGTGATGGATAACACACACCGGGTGTGATGGATAACACACACCGGGTGTGACGGCTAACACACACCGGGTGTGATGGATAACACACACCGGGTGTGATGGATAACACACACCGGGTGTGACGGATAACACACACCGGGTGTGATGGATAACACACACCGGGTGTGATGGATAACACACACCGGGTGTGATGGATAACACACACCGGGTGTGATGGATAACACACACCGGGTGTGATGGATAACACACACCGGGTGTGATGGATAACACACACCGGGTGTGATGGATAACACACACCGGGTGTGATGGATAACACACACCGGGTGTGATGGATAACACACACTGGGTGTGATGGATAACACACACCGGGTGTGACGGATAACACACTCGGTGTGTCAACACAACAGTACAAGTTATGACTTCCAGAATAATTCCCTGAAGCAATGTTGCTTAAACATTAACGCAAACATGGTGGTCACAGGCTCTAGCTATCACGCTTACTGTCAGTCTGGCACAGTACACCGTCACCCTCACTGTCAGTCTGAGTGACACAGTACACCGTCACCCTTACTGTCAGTCTGGCACAGTACACCGTCACGCTTACTGTCAGTCTGAGTGTCACAGTACACCGTCACCCTTACTGTCAGTCTGGCACAGTACACCGTCACCCTCACTGTCAGTCTGAGTGACACAGTACACCGTCACCCTTACTGTCAGTCTGGCACAGTACACCGTCACCCTCACTGTCAGTCTGAGTGACACAGTACACCGTCACCGTCAGTCTGAGTGTCACAGTACACCGTCACCCTTACTGTCAGTCTGGCACAGTACACCGTCACCCTCACTGTCAGTCTGAGTGTCACAGTACACCGTCACCCTTACTGTCAGTCTGGCACAGTACACCGTCACCCTCACTGTCAGTCTGAGTGACACAGTACACCGTCACCGTGCTGGGGGTCACAGTACACCGTCACCCTTACTGTCAGCCTGGCACAGTACACCGTCACCCTCACTGTCAGCCTGAGTGACACAGTACACCGTCACCCTTACTGTCAGCCTGGCACAGTACACCGTCACCCTGTCAGTCTGGCACAGTACACCGTCACCCTCACTGTCAGTCTGAGTGACAGTACACCGTCACCCTCACTGTCAGTCTGAGTGACACAGTACACCGTCACTGTCAGTCTGAGTGAC